TTATCTTCAAAAGTAAACTATGCACTATATTCATCATCAGCTTCACAGAAAGTCCCTCTTAAAGAAGAGACTCCTCATCTGTATTTGATTGTTGCTATTTGAATATTTTGCCTTTATTTTTGGTGCTGATTCTGCTTCATCCAGACAATCTCTTACCACTGGGGCATTCTGGGAATGCAGGGACACATCTGAAGACAAGGGAAAAAAGATGTTCTAGCACTTGGCTGCTTGAGAACTTTGCATTTAAAGCCCAATTTGTAGCAATTTCTGGTGTCTCTCTATAAAAAATATCCTCAGGATTTGTTTCAATGAGGTGCTGAGGTGTTGCTGTTTGTTTGCTCAGAGACAGGGGGAAATCACTTTTTGGAGTGGCTCAGTTTTGAAAGGTCTGGATCTGTACCACGTCTTGTGAGCGTTGTTTCCATCCCTTGCTCCTCTCAGTTAAGATCACCGTGTTCCTCCCTTTCCCACACTTCCTCCTAGGCTTTGTAATCTGCATTGCCCCAAGGAAATGCAGCTGTCACGATGGTTCAGAGATCAAAATTCAGCCTTTAATGTAGCTAAGGCTTGATCCATTAACTACTTTGAAGATTATGACCAAAGCCTTAAACTGGCATCTGAAATATGAAACTTCAGCAGGAGTTAATGAGGCCCAGGAAAGCTGCTCGGGAGGCAGCTCTTGTGTCCCACACGGTGCCAGAGAGACAAAAGAACCAGCACTGCAGCAGGAGTGAGGAGAGGGGCAAAGCAGAGCCTGAGACACTCCAAAGCAAGGTTAAAAATTAGTAATTTTAACAGTAAGAAGGGGAGTTTTGGCTACAATATTAGACAGACATAGAGGATAGCAAAGTCTGAAGACAAGAGTGACTGCCCGAGCTCAGATTCACAAGAAATCAGGCAGCAGCATTCCTTGTGTTCAGGAGTTACTCTGAGCAATGAAAAATACAGAGGGAGGTTGCCCTGGAAGCAAAAGGATGGACAGTGTCATTCCCAGGCTGCACAGGAGACACGTGGCAAAGGGAGACTCTAATGATGTGAGTGATGATAATTCAATTTATACTCTATGGGTCATGTCAGCCAAGAGTAAATGGAGGAAAATAACCCAGACTGTGACAACCATGTGTTCAGATCTGCAAGTTTCTTTTGAGGGGAAAAAAAAAGAACTTCAGTACTTAAAACTACTGTTAAAAATAAGTTGTACCTCCATGTTGACCAGTGCAGCACTGAAGAGCCAAAGGTGCACTTACTGTTTTGCTGAGCTGCAGGAGAAAATGAGCAAGAAGGAGCCATCCACAGTATCAGTTAAACAGGAGTCACTTCACATCAGCATAAAGAGTTGCTAAGATTAAGGATTGACCAGAAATAGTCCAGTAAGTTTCCACTGAATCAACATTTTCTGATGGAAAACTGTCCTGGCTGGAAAAATTTCAGCAAGCGTGACTTGTTACATTTAAAGTACCAGCTATCACTTCTCCATTCTAGAAATACCAAATGCTCAGGACTCCCAGCTTTTCAAGTTTGTTATCATTTGAAATGTAATTATGTTGTGACTCATTGGAACAGACCAAATGGCAGCAAATGTAAAGAGACAAAACTTGGAGATTTAGGTATTAGAATTGTCCCATTCAGCCTATACTTCATGGAGACTCCCATTGCAAAAATACCTTAAAATTTGGTTTTCAAACACTTACCACTACTTGTGCAATTCACATAAAGTCACCACATCTTGGTTGTACTCTCACCCTCTGAGTGAACATACTTCCATCTGAATGTTAAAGAGGACATCCTGAAAAGAAAGACAATTAGTATACATTTTGTATTTATTCATGAATAAACAAGTTTTTACCAGCTGACACAGTGAAAATGGTGATGGCCTCGTTCATACAACTACTCCTAAATTATCCTTCAGTCTTCCCCACCAAGTCAGGCAGGATTCAAAAAACAATGAATTGGAGGTGGCGGGTCATCACCCCATTGATAATGAGAATTTCTTTGTGATAGGAGGAGCACTGGACCTGAGGTCCAAGGAATTTCTTTCTAGTTCTGTGCCCTAATCTGGGCAACACTATAGATTCACTCAATCTCTGAGTTATAATGAACTAATCCTAGCAGAGTTAGTTCTCAGCAGGTTGTCAGTGCCAGAACAATTACATCATACCCAGGCACTCTGTAACCTTCTGTGAGGGGACAGCTCACAGATGACTTCCAAGAAATGAAGCTCTAATTTAGAATTAGATATTAACTGCTTGCTCTGGTACTTTTGTTTTGAGCAGGTATCCATTTGGCCTTGTTGTTTGGCAGCTCTGCCAGGCTTCACTCCCTGCAGCTGGAAGCGAAATGTGAAATGCAGCTTGATTTTTTATAGTGACTTTTGGGGGGTTTTGTTGCTTTCCTCTGGCTGAGGTTTAGGTAAAAGGTATAAAGCTCTGTGCTTGTTTCCCAGGCCTCGTCCCACAGCTCATTACAAACACACATCCTTTGGGCCATGGACTCCACAGCTCAATAAGCACAACTGTGACAATGTCCTTGATGCACAGCACCAGAGCAGCACAGCTGGTTGTGCCATGGCCATGGCTCAGCCAGGGCACAGTCACACAGGCTCCAGGAACACCCCAAACTGTCCTCCTTCATCCCCACGTGCAGCTATGCTCACTGATGAACTGCAGCACTTCCCATCCCTGCAAGCCAGAGACAGTTTGTGGTTTATGGATTGCAAGCACTTGGCTGCAGGAACTTCCACATGTTCTTTATGTCCTTGTAGTTGGAATTTTTAGTCTAGAGCCATGACATGCCAGCTCCAGCACAGCCTCAGTACCAGTGTACTCACCATTGAGACAAGTAGGAGTTAATGTTGTTAAAACGTTCTGAAAACACTTGTGATCCAGGATTTGAATAAAGTAATCTGAAAGAGTGGCTATGGATATCCAGCCCCTTAACCCCTCCATCCCGCTCCCCACAGCCAACATTAACCTCAAATACAGCCAGCAGAGGAATTTGCTGCTGCCTGTGTGCAGCTGCAGAGCTGCTCAGATGCCCCCATGCTCCTGGATCTCTAGATGTTTGTTTCCAGCTACTTGCAGATATTTTGCAGGAGAATTTGCTGCAGGGCAGGAGGGAAATTATTGTTAACTCTTTCCAGGCCAGTCTGTAATCTGACAGTGAGCCAGAAATCCTGGATTAATACCAGGATATCAGGGATTTGTTTAGGAGCTCTCACAACCAAACCCAGGTTGTTGTCCTATGGCACCAAACAAGGCTCTTGGCCTTGGGAGGGTTCAGTGTTCACGTGGCAAGTTGGCCCTTGTTTTGACTCATGAGGAGGGAGGGCAGGATTTACCCTCACTGGTCCCCTGGTTGAGCTCAAGTCTGAAAGTTTGCCACTGGAAAAGATGCTGGTGCATGCAGGATGCATGTTTTGAGGGAGACAGTGGTTCCAAGTGACACGGTTATCCTCAGGATACAGGTAGTGCCCATCAGTTTGATCCTGAGCCTCTGTGGATCCCAGCTCAGGGTCCATTCCTGGAGGGATCCAGGGCTAGCAAATGCCCTCCCCAGCCTGGATGTGCAGTGCAGCTTTCCCCAGACAAGCTGTGGACACTTGAACTAACATTTACAGATTGTTATTGATGTGCATAGGAAAGGAAATCTGGCAACAATGAGAACATGATGCGAGATCCCAGACTGACTTGTTCTGTCTTCGACAGAAGCCTGGTTCACTTCTCGAGGGAGAAAAACTTTGAGTCTGTTCACCAGGGAGTGAGTGAAACATCTATAAAAATAATCTTGGGAGAAATTTGAGTGTACTGGGTGGTACTGACATATCAGCACAGCATCCTATTTGTTCTGTTGGACAAGAAAACAGAAACATTTGTATTTTAACTTTATTACAGCTTTGCAGTTAGCAGAAGGCAATGTGTTCTTAGCTGTACAGCCTCATAAAAGCCATCTGCAGCTACACAGATGTGTGTTTTGCTAAAAAAAAAATCTCAAGTTTATCCATATTGGATCCTTGTGATTGGAAGGTCTTTTTCAGTTACTATTTCTGACCTCTAGTGATGATTCTGGGTGTTAGAAGTACCCCTTCACTGCCAAGCCCTGCACCATAGACAGGCTTCAAACCTGTATTAGACAACAAAGGAAAACACAAAGCTGTCCCCCCGTTCTATGTAAGTTCAAGTGGAGCAGTGTCCCCGAATGCATCATTTATCTGTTAAAGACATTTGATGGGTTTATTGTGGCTGACAGGCAGAGCATGAAGCTGAAGAGAGTGTTGGTAGGTACCACTGTCATTGAGGACATGCCCCACAACCTATTCAGAGAGGCTCCTTCTGTTCCCTTGGGATACTCCAGGAGTCACATCTGGCTGTGCATTCTCATGGAAACTCTTTCAAGAGCAATACAAAGTTCTTAGTCCACTGAAATTCTAGGGCTAAACTAGTGCAGCTTTACAAGTCAGAGGGTTTTATTTCTCCCTGCTGTGCAGCACTGCCCTGCTCCCGGGGACTGTTTGTGGTGTTCTGCACAACCTTTGGGAATAAGGGGGACAGCAGGTGATTTGGAGAATGGAGACCACAACTTCAGGGAGTTGTTACTGATTTTTCTGGCTCTCTGTGCATTCAGACAGAATGAGCGAAGGGCACAAATCCTGTTAGACCAGCCAATCAGTAAAAAATGGACTCAGACCAAGACACCAGTTTCAGAAGGTGAGCCCTGAGCAACAGAACCCCTCTCTGATCCTCAGTGCTGCCGAGTGCAGAGCTGTGCCCTGTGCTGCTCCACATTCTTCACAGGGAGATCCAGAGAAACTCCAACACATTGTGCCAGGTGCTTCCAGCTGCTGGAGATGCTGCCTTTATGGACCAAAAGCATCCAAGTTCCCTGCCCAGCTGGTGCAGTCAGGCTCAAGTCCACATTGCACAGCTCTGATTGTCCTGAGACTTCAGTGGTTGTTGGTTCATTTTTTCCCTCATCTGGAAATATATGAAATAACAGTTGTCTGTGTTGCAATCTCCGACAGTAGTGTCTTTATAGGATGACACCAAAGGTACAGATCTCCTTTAGGCATCTGAAGATGTAAGAATTACTAGGGCAGTATTGGAAAAAACTTGGTACAGTTTCATATCCTTCTCTGAAGGTTGAAAATGTCCCTTGGTTTCTTTTCAATGCTGGAAGGAACCCAGAAGTAAAGTAACCTGACTGGGGCTCTGGAATGAAAGAGTGGTTGAGCCACATTGAATTTGTACATTCACAGCACTGAATCACAGTGGATTTAATGATGATCTGTCTCAAACATTTCCCTTGAAGCTTTCTTCTGTATAGGAACCCCTGTCTCCTGGGGAAGAGCTCTCAGGTACTAATGATAGAATGCAGGGGCTGGAAAGTTTCTCGGTTTCAGTCCTTGGCTCTCTGTGTCCTGGGACACTTCTCTACCAGGTACAGAACTCCCCCTGGCAAGGGGAGAAAAGGGGCTCAAAATGTGTTAATAACGTAAAACTGTTGGAATACCTAAGTCTTGATTTGGTGAAGAACTGCACAGAAGAAATAGCTCCAATAAATACAATATTTTATATTTTATCCATTGGCTGAAGTGTTATACACAACCTCAGCAAACTCAGGCAGTAGCCTCTGAAAATGCAGGGTTGGTACTCAGTTTAAACCCTTGTTTCTATTGTTTCTAGCTTCAATAAATACATTCCTCTCGGGTCAAAGCTTTCTGTGCTTAGTTCTAGATCAAAGGCCAACTTTCATGTTTGAAAGACCAAGTGAAATGAGTTTTCAACTGTGAATTATTCAAAAGTGGGAGTAGAAAGGAAAGAGACTTAAATGTTGTGATAAAAAATTTTGCCCTCTGGTTACCAAAAATTCCTAATCAACCCCAGCCATCTTTCCAAAGTCTGGACTGAGGGGAACCAGCTCTCCAGTGACTCTTAATTGGCCTGGACTGGCTTAAGTTGCTTTGGGTGACTTTCTCTCCAGACATGGATCAGCTCTAATGGGGTTGGTGCAAACGTGGCACAAAGAGGTGGGTATTGGATTTGCCATGGTCAGCACCCCTGCACTGAGCTCATCTGCACAGAAGAGAATCTGGATGTATAAACCAAATAGCTCCTTCCTCCAGATGGTGCAAAAGCTCTCCTATCTGAGTGTCTCTACAGGAGGGGCATGGGACGAACAGGAATGATCCCAAACCAAACCTCTGAGAATGCAAAAATGAGTGGATTTGTAAAAGTCACGTTGCTCTCACTCACTCTACCTTGGCTCTGACTATGCACTTCCCCCTGCAAGGTAAACCTCAGCTGGTGCTGTTGTTTGCTCTTTGCACACACCATAAAGTATCCAGGATATGAAACCTGGAAATCCAGAGATGCAGGAACACCTCTCCGTTGAAGAGTTTTCTGATTTCATACTGCACTAAAGCTGGAATTTCACTCTGGTTTGGTAGCTGACCTCAGTACTTCCCAGTGCCTCTTTCACCAGTGAATGACCCTCTGTCTCTTCTCGATACTTGGCTGGAGACACAGAACTCCCCCAAATTGCCAGAGATGCTGGGCCTGAGTCAGCAGATGCCTTTGGCCGCGTCAGACTGCCTGAAAAGCAGAAAAATATGCAAAGCAGATCAGCACATTGCCGTATCTGCAAGGGCCCGGTTACCTTTATATCAAAAGCCTTAGGGGTAGGTGTCATTTGGAATTTAGACCCAGTCTGGAATAGCTCGGGCCGTTTAGGCACTAGAATGAGTCCCGGCAGTGCCTTTGGGGCAGCCCTGCCGGGAGCACGTGTGGAGGGCGGAGGCGCTCGGTGCCCGGTACCGGTGCCTTCACCGGACTGACATTGCCTTCACCCCCTGAACGCGGGGTGGGACCCTGAGCCGTGCCCAACAAAGGCTCAGCCCCCACGGCAGCCGCGGGCTCGGCACTGGGCGTGTTCCAGCAGCCTTTGGCACAGGAACCCCCGTGGGGAGGGCAGAGCGAGCGGCCAGCACTGCCCAGAGATGGGATGTGCGGGAAACCGGCTGGAGAGCCCTGGCCGAGCTCAGGGGACACCGTGGGGTCTCTGTCCGAGCTCAGGGGACACCGTGGGGTCTCTGTCCGAGCTCAGGGGACACCGTGGGGTCTCTACCTGAGCTCAGGGGACACCGTGGGGTCTCTGCCTGAGCTCAGGGGTCACTGAGGAGCACTGCTCTACTCTGCCTGGCTTTGGTTCCTTCACTAACAAGTCTTTCCTTGAGCTGCCAAGTCGGCCTGTTCCCCAGAGAGGTGGGAGGCAGGCAGGGTTCTCCTGACTCATCCTTCATAGACAGCGTTTAGAGATGTGTGACTGTAGCTCCTTTAACCCGTGACAGAAAGCAGCAGCCCTTGCCTTACTAGAAAGTCACCCCCACGGCTGAACACACGTGCTGCTGTTCCCTGGGCACCTTCCTTCTGTCTGAGGAACTTCAGGAATGGTTTGAGGTGACTGAAGTCCTGCAGAGAGACCCAGAATGTCCCCATTAGAGCAGAAGTCAGGTTTTACAGTTGTAGCCACCGTTAGAAATAACAGGCTGGCACTACCACGGAATAATCTAAACACTAAAATTGACCAGAGGCTTTTCATATCACAACTTGTTTTTCTGCTCTGTTCTTTGAGCTTAGAGAAATCTTAACTCAGAAGTTGCAGAAGGTTCCTTTTCTCATCTGTGCACTACTTTTGCAGTGGCTGTACAACCCGCCCATCCCACAATTTTTCATCACTGGAAGGCTTCACTTCCCACCTCCCGGTGTCTTTAAGGAAAGTACTGAGCAAGACCCAGAACCTCCCTAAAGTCACATTAAAAACCTAAAGGGTCAGTGGCTTTGTGTCGAATTGTCTGGCTCTGAATCTGCCTAAGAAGCACCGTGTGAGATGTCAGGTGTGGCCCTGATTGTCTTGTAATTCAAACAAAGGTCTGTCTGTGGTTGTATACCTAGAATATATGATTCCAATAAATAAAGTTCTTATTTTTACTAAGTTGTTAAATTCTTAGATCTGAAATTTAACAGCTGTTTTAATTTTGACTAGAGTTTCCTTCAGAGTCCTCCACAAAGCAGACTCACTGGAGAAGCTTTTGTAGCCCTCTGTACAAGTGGGAGTGAGCCCCATCTGGAGTCAGCCTCCATCCACCAGGAGAGAAACTCCAGCACTTGCTCCCAGCTGATAACAGGAGGAGATGGAGCCACATAAAACAACTGCACATCAAGGATCCAGTTTCAACCACAAAAAGTCGTTATCAGCACCAAGGAGTGTCTTTGTTCTCATCCTGGCTCTTGACCTGTATCATGAAGGCAAATATGCTTTAGAGCTGCTTTCCCTGCGTCTGTGGCCTGGGATAAGGAAGAAGGAACAGCTGGGAAAGTCTAAAGTCCTTGTTCTGAGCACGTCAGTTGAAAGCCTGGCCTGATCTCAGCAGGTGTGCCACACAGCCTGGTCTGGACTGAAACCTCTGGAACTGTAACATTTCACAACTACAGGTTTCTCAGAATCCCAGTTCTCCGTGTGTGTTTCCTGCTGCCCCATGCACTTGGGATGGTGTGTTGGCCGTGGTGACAGTGTAACATCCAATACTGTGTTATTTGATTAGGTTTATTAATGGCATCACAGCGAATTCATCAGTGGTCTCATGGTGGTGGAGAGAATAAAACCTACAATTCTTTCCCATGAATCCTCACTATAACTCAGATGTAACTGTGGACTCTGGAATCTTCTCCCTGATTTTGCCTCTACTGAGCTGCTGAATTGCTATTAGGGCAGTTTATGAAACCTAACAGTTTAGTGCTTCCTGCTGCACTCAGGAATGAGCTCTTGACACCCAAAACTATCAGAATCATCAGACTTATTCTGAGCCATCAGTTTTATGAGGTAAAAAACAGAAGGAAAAAAAAGAGTTCTTTCTCTCCACACTGATTTTACTTCTGCATTGTCTCAGGCTATCATTTTCAGATGCAGCCTTGTCCCAGACATGCAAAAAATGTAGTTTTCCGTGTAGCAATATGGTGTGATTGTTCTCTTCTAAGAAAGAGAGAGGCTGCTGATACTTCTCAATGATGTAATAGTCATGTGGGAGTTCACTGCCCTGCTCAGATTTGGTTCCTGGTTTTCAGTGTCCCCACTACAAACAATACATATTACATGGAGATTTCAAGGGCGTTGAGAGCCTGCGTGAGAAAGGCAAACAAAATGTTAACTATTGGATCGTCTCAGAACATCCAAGTGACCAGGTACAGAAATTTTTGTAAGAAATCCAGGATTTTGTTAATGTTATTTCACTTTGATTTTTGTTCAGTATTATACCTACAAGAATAAGGGCATATTTTAGTCAATAGGGTTTGCAGTTGTCCATCAGAAGATGAGATGCAAAAAGGGCTAGATAGAATAGCCTACTTTGGTTCTGAAAAAACCCAAAACTTCTTTAAGCACTGTAATAAATCAGCTAAAATTACTTTATTTGGCATAACATATTTGCTCATTTAGTAGTGACATATGGAGCCAGGATTCTTATTTGCTACAGATATCCAGGCATTTGCTTATCTGCCCTGCCCCACTCTTGTACCTGCACCTCTGAAAGCACTTGCCTCCTTCAGGCTTCTGATCTGCATAAACAACCATAAATCAATCCCCAAAATAGAGAAACCAAGTAAAACCACTGTAACAACACTCAAGAAGCAAGTCCAAATCAATAGCAGAGCTCCTTGGAAATATTCTTTGTATACATAATGCTTTTTCACCACTGAACTGATTCAGATAGTTTCCCTTCACACAAAAAATGAGATCAAAGGTAGTAGAAAGTACATGTTATAAATGAATGTTCAGTCTATTGGTGCATTCAGTTCATAAGAAATGAGGAGTACACTTCTTTCCCTCTGTGACGGAAATACTTAGGAAAGTAGATATTGAAGCATTTTGGATGATGGCATAAAGGACAGGCATGTTATAGCTGTGATGTGGAACTGCATTTAAAAATGTGTCAATGAAAACCATGTATTGAGCAAAACAGCTCAGGGAACTGGGTCTGGTTAACATTTGACAGATGAGTAATTTTTCTCTCCCAGTGAAACAAGAGAGAGGAGATCCCAACCTTCAGTCTCCAGCAAATTCCTCATATTGAAGGAATTAATGTGAAATGGTTTGGCTCTGCTCATCCTGGCACACTCTGTACTCAAAAAAAGAGAGACAAGATCTTCCAGAAAGTAACTTGAATAAAAAATGAGAGTCCACTTCTTTCCTTGGAGACCCCACATGTAGGTACTGCAAGTCAGACTGTGTGGATACTCTCATCCTCTCTCAACAACATAATTAAAATTGCTGTCTTTGAAGTTACAGGACTGAATAAAAACCTTTGTGGAAGGCATAGATAACCAAGTTCAAATTCAATTATCTCCATGTCATTGGTTTTAAACCCTGCCTTCTCCCCAGTACAGATTCCTACATTAAAGGTTTTTACCATGTCCAAAAACTAGAATAAGCCAGGGAAGCAAAGAGCAAAGTTCCTGCAGGGAACATGTCAGGGTAGGTAGGAAACAATCTTTCTCTAGAGATTAATTGTAAAGAAACTGTTTATTAGTGGCAGCTACACAGCACACAGATTAGGGCTTGAATAAAATAGCCTTGCATTTGAGAATACAAGAGCAGAACTGATGTTTACCCTAATGCATAGGACTCACTGGCTGCTTCACAAATATTTACATGCCAGGAGCTTAAGGCTTCTTGTGTGTCCTGCACTCAGGGACTTGCTGCTCCATATTTCTCGGAGACAGGAATGCAAAAAGCGGATGAATTATGACCAGAAGTGGTAACTCAGCCCTTACTGCTCAGTCAGCTAAGCAGCACCCCATTTTCTTTCTAAAACTGCCTTAAGCTGCCCTGGAGGCTTTCTAGAATATCTGGCATTCCCTGCCCAGCACAAACCCTTCTGCACATCCATCACACAGAAAGCACTGCCGTGTCCATGCAAAGCTGGACATAAACCCAGACCACACCGACATCTCTGTTACTGAGGTCATGTGTTAAACAAGTTGTAATACCTCAGAATCACACTCTGGGTCTTGCATTGTGGCCATCCATGCTTTCTCATGGAATATTCCTCCCAAGCAGGGCAGAGCCCCACTGGCTAAGCTGAGGGTCCCACATTTTCTGTCCTGTTGGTCACATCTGCTTGGGAGGAGGCACCAAGATGATCAGAGGGATGGAGCCCCTCCAGGGGGAGAGAGCTGGGATTGTTCAGCCTGGAAAAGAGAAGACTTTGGGGTGACCTAGTTGAGGCCTTCCAGCACCTGAAGGGAAACTACAGGAAAGAGGGAAGAGACTATTTACAAGGGCCTGGCGTGACAGGACAAGGGGAATGGGCTTAAGCTGAAGGAGGGCAGGTTTAGATTAGATATTAGGAAGAAATTCCTCCCTCTGAGGATGGTGAGGCCCTGGCACAGGTTGCCCAGAGAAGCTGTGGCTGCCCCTGGATCCCTGGAAGTGTCCAAGGCCAGGTTGGACGGGGCTTGGAGCAACCTGGGACAGTGGAAGGTGTCCCTGGGGTGGCACTGGATGGGCTTTAAGGTCCCGTCCAACCCAGAGCAGTCTGTGATTCCATGATTTGCCCATTCCATATTGTGTGCATTTCCAAGTGCAAGCTGGAATCCGGCATCTCTCAGTTCCTTCTTAGCAGAGATGCCTCAATCCTATCTTTTCCATGAGAGCACGGTGCTCTCAGAGACTGAGGAATGACTGAGGAATGGAACCAAGTTTCTCCAGAGGCAGAAACATTCAGGACACGGGAAGGGAAGAGGAAAAGCACCACCTAACACTTGTGCAGTGGGGAAGAGGGCTGCTGTGCCCCTAAGTCTGGATGGGCTTTGCATCTCACATCATCCCTAGAAAGGTATTTGGGGAAAAGACAAAGGTGGTGGCACAGGAAGCAGCTCTCAAGGAGAGAATGGGACTAACAGAATAATCACTGCAGGATAAAGGACTCCTGGTTTGCATCAGAGCTGCTGGAATAATCAGAGTTCTGAAATCATTATTACTGAAGATTTTGTCAAGTTTGTTTTCAGTTCTGTTGTCAGGTGTCCCTGCCCATGGCAGGGGGTGGAATGGATGGTCTTCAAGGTCCCTTCCAACCCAAACCATTCTATAATTCCATGATTCTATGCTTTCCAATGCCAATCACACCTCAGGCTGTGCTCACCTCAGGGGGCTCCGTGGTGGTGGATAGTCCAGAGCTGCTCCCAGTTGTCCAGAGACCAATCAACTCTCAGCATTCACTGAACTTTCTGCCTGGAGCACCTTCTCCAAACCCTGTGGATCAACCACAGAGGTTTCTCAGACTCCTGAGCTCACACTCCCTGACATAATCTGTGCACATCCAAAGTGTTGCAAAATTGAAAAAAAAATAACAGATCAGAAACTCCCTTAAAAAAAATCACTGTTACTGTTTTATCAATTAAAAAAACAGAGTAAGGTAGCGGGCAACAGGCAAATTGCCAACGGGAAAACCTTTGACTCAGCATTAAACCAGGACCTGAAGCACTTTCAAGTAGGTGCCTCAGACTACCAGCCAAGCAGCAGGGAGAGAAAGAGAAGGGTTTGGGTCACTTAAGGAAAAATTTGAATGAAAAGAACAATTCTATGGAAAAGTTGCATCGACGTGGGAGACTATGAAGTTTTCCACTTCAGCTATGCTTGAGGTGATGAGACACTGCAGCATCACAGTGGCAACAGCAGCTCCTAAACTGTGATATTCAGAATTGGGGGTAAATAATATCAGTTTTCTTTTGGTTCCTTTTAAGAGTTTGCTAATTGGGACAATGAAAATGAAGGGTTAACCCTGAACGAGGAGGACCAAGGAGAAACAAGGAAATGTGATACAAAGAGTGTCTGAAAAATGAGAGGAGGAGGATACAGGAGAATATAGGGTGTGTTTTTACAGTCTCTTCCCAGTTCATGCTCAGCAGACCAGTGAAGGAGAACACTTCCTGCCTCTGTGTGAAGTGTCATCACGTACAGCTGGCACAACTACCTCCAGTTAGGTGAGCAAATATGAAATACTGAATACCATCTTTGCCAAGGAAACATGCTCATGTTACATTATTTGCCTAAACCTCTTTTAAGTATGCCAGGAATAAAAATAAACCCCATAACCTTCCTTAGGCAGAGGAGAAAACTGACAGATAAAGTTGGTTGCTCCGTTCAGGATCTCTGCTTTACAGTTCCTTTACTCTGCAGTTGTTACTCATGCAGAGACAGACAAGCTGCCTTGTAAAAAATTCATTTTCAAGCAATGTCAGCGTTACACACAATGTATATATTCAGTGTCCTGGCTGCCCAGTTCTTCTCTGCAAGTGGAGCTCTGCTGTGGGGGTGTCTGTTGTTCCATGGCAAGCTCGATGCTTTCTGTTTTCCTTGATTTACACTGTCCTGGCAACAAACAATGAACTCTGCCAAAACATGGATAAACACCAAGGTGCAGTGTGAGGGCAGGGGCTGAGCGTTTCCCACCCAGCCACATGACCTTTATTCCCTGGAGGTGCTGCAGGAGCAGTGGAGCTGCACTGGGATGGGCAGGCTGAACTCTCCCTTCTAATCTGGGCTCTGCTGCTGACTCACCATGTCACCTTTGGGACAGAACTGCCTCCAAATTCGTTCTCCTTCCTTCAAGAGGCCGCATTCTGTTGGAGACATTAGTTACCATAGTTACAGATCCTAGAATAGTTAGGATGAAGGACTTCTCAATCAGATAACTTGGCAATCCTTCCTTTTGTTCTCTGCTACAGGGCCAGAAATGACAGAAGACTAAAAAGTAAGTTCAAGCAAGGTAATTAAAACAGATTTATTCCAGTGGCACAGCGTGGAAGAGTAAGGTAAAAACCTGAGAGCTGCTCACCAAAGGCTGGGTGGAAGATGTGGCCCAAACAGAACTGGGAGTTGCAGTTCTGTATTTATCAAACAAGCTATCATAACTTGGAAAATGTGAGATAAGTGCCAGCAGTGTCCTGCTGCCAGGCAGCCTATTCTTATTTATCCACTGAAGTCAACCTTGCTGACAGAAGCCCTTTTTAAAGGCAATCTGCTCTGTGCATGCCTGGCCTGTTACTGGGTTACCTCAGGGTTTTTTGTAAACCCCTGGTCTTGCATTTGAAATTCAGCTCACACAAATCTGTTGTAGGACAGACCTATTTGCATCTTTGATTTCTATTGACTTACTCCTAACCTTTCCCAGCTATTCTTTACATTTTGATGAACTCTTCTTGCTTCCTTTCCCAAGCCCTGCCGAAGATAAATAGAGGATTGAGACTCTTTGAGGCTGCCCAGCGCCAAGGTTTTGCTCTGGGCAGCGTGCTGATCATGGCTGCAATTCCTGGCTTGCAGGCACTTGGGATCCAGTTACATTTGCTGGCGTCAGGCAGACTCTGCAGACCACTGTGAAATACTGAATCTAAAAATAAAAGAATGAAAAAGTACAAACCCAAAGAGAGAGGGATATTAAAATTCCAGAAAAACTGTAGAAAAGTTTGGAAGAGGCACACAGGCAGTCCTGGGGGAAAACACTGACATACTGGGGGAGTTTAAATTAAGCCCATGGGTTTGCCTTTTTTAGCTCTGACACCCATGTGACACTCCAGGGCTCAGCCTGTGGGTCCAGGTATTTCTGCTCACACAGAGAATGCGTTGGAGCCTCTGGGAAAGCCAAACCATTCCCACTGTCTCAGCTCCTTGTGCCTCTCTCCCTATGAACTGGTAACCCCAGGTGCACTTGGCTGGGGAGTCTCAGTCCTCTGGATTTCTCCTTTGGATCAAACCCACCCTGGATGGTGCTGACTGGGAGAGGGAAGAGGTTCCGGGCTCTGGTGAGTCTCAGCAGGGACAGGAGGGGGAATGTGACAGCTTTTGCAGCACTTTTAATTGTACATATGGAAAATAATGGATCTGTGAATCCAGCCAAAGGGTCAGGATTAAATACGTGCTCAACCTGCTTCAAAAGATTAAATTAATGAGTCTGAGATCAGATAGAGAAGCCTCAGTGCTATTTCTAAAGGGGATTTCATGAATCTCATATGAAGAATTTGGTGGAAATTTCCTTATTTTTTGATGAAAAAAAATCTAGTAATCTTTGAAATTGTCTTTTTTCCATTTAAATATTAAACCAGCACAAGGTTTAATGTTTGCCAAGTACAAAGTTGCGTTTTGAAGTGCAAGACTTGTGCCTGCCCGTTCCTGAGCGGCCCCGTTCCATTTCAGGGCTTCGGACCGCCTGCCTTTGATTTGTTTGTGAAAATTCTTTCTAGATTTAATCGAAGCCTATTTGCAGGAGACTTTATTTCTGCCTCCTTTTTGACGCTTTAAAATGAATGACCGCGGAGCTGAGGTTGAGAGCGGCCGTGTTTGCAGAACAAAGTGTTATAAACACACCCACACCCACAGGCCGCGGGGCTGCCCCGCACCGCGGGCACGGGGCGGCCGCGCTGGGGCCGCGGGGAGGCCGCGGGCAGGGCAGGAGTTCCCAAACGGTGGCTGAGATTGTGTGTGTTAAGGATTGTGTGTGTTAAGGATTGTCTGTGTTAAGGATTGCGTGTGTTAAGGATTGCGTGTTCCGAGCGTGCCACGGTGCAGCCCTGGGGCTCCTCGGCGCTGAAAGCTCTGCCCTCCAGCCGCGCTGAGGGCTCAGCCCGAGCTCCAGCCCCGTCCCTCAGCTCAGGGCCCAGAGGCCGTGCCAGGGTTTGAAGCCTTAGGACTGAGCACCTCGGCCTGGGGTGTTCTGCAATTTTTAGTTTTCTTTCATTCCTGATCTGAGGAACAGCAGCTCACGCTGTGCTTTCTAAAGAAACCTTGAAGGGGTCTCCTGCCAGCATGAAGTGGGTGTTTAAAACTGCACGGGTGGTTTTTTTGGGGGTTCCTCCTAAGGACTGTAAGACAAAACCTCTATTGTCCCAGCTGTGTGACCCTGGAAGTATTTCACATGCAGCATTTTATACTATTTAATAGTACAGCTACAATGAAATGTCAATATCACAGAATCACAGAATATCCTGAGCTAGAAGGGACCCACAAGGGTCACCGAGTCCAAGCCCTGGCCCTGCCCAGGACACCCCAACAATCCCACCCTGTCCCTCAGAGCATTGTCCAAACCCTCCTGGAGCTCTGGCAGCCTTGGGGCTGTGCCCACTGCCCTGGGGAGCCTGGGCAGTGCTTTGGGGGAAGAACCTTTCCCTGAGATCCACCCTGATCCTGCCCTGGCACAGCTTTGTGCTGTTCCCTCGATATTTTAAAAACTGTAATGTTAGTTTATATTTCTTAATTTGCCTCACTAACTTTGTAGAAGAAATTTGGACCTATATATTTTAATTTACAGCAGACAAAAAGCTGAAGGAAGCATCAGGCAGGAATGTGAAGCTGTTTCCCCGTGTCTCAGGCTGCGTTTGTTCTAAACAAAAACCAACTGAAAATGAATATGCAAAATGCCTGTTACTTATGTATATGAACTTGGCAGATTCATTTATAGTTTTGCAGCACATCAGGTTTGCAGCTAAACAGTTGATTAAGTGCAGCTCACAGTGAGAGATTCTGAGGGTACAAAGAACATCCATCCACATCCTCTGATGGAATACAAAACTCCCAAGCTTTCTAATGACCATCCATGGTTGGACAATATCTGGCAGCAGGTCAGAAACTGCAAGAAAATCAAAAATATCCTTCCTTATCAAAGCCTATGTTAACCAGGACATTCCGCACAGGAAGGTCTGGAGTTTCTGCCTGACTCAGAATCATAACTTCTCTTAACTCTCTGTCTTGTGTGTGTCCAGGTTCTCCTTCTGTGTGTCCAGTTCTGGTGAAATCCTTTCTCTCACTGCTCAGTAAAAAGAAGTTGTTACTTGTGTTGGGTCACCCTACCCTGCCTGTTCCTGTACCTGACACAGAGGTCAAGGCAAAAGGTAGGAGACATGAAACACGGTTCCCCTTTTCCAAAATGGGAAACTGAGGCAGGGGCTCAGTAAGTTGCTCGAGGACACAGTTTCCACTAGTGGGAATCCAAACAAACTCACTGAGGCTCATGGAAGCTGTGAGAGAAAGGCAGACTTTTGTACCAGGAAGATCCAGTGTAACTGCAGGACAAAATGGTATCAAAGTAAAAAGATGTTTAGGAGCAGCAGAAAGGGGAAGTTCTAAAGTTCAGCAAAAAAGAATTGTAGAAACCTGGAAGGTGCTTGGCACAGTCCCAGAGCTGTTCCTATGCAGTGAGGAAACTGAGTGATAGGAATATACTTTAGCTGCTTTCTTGATCTTATCTTTTTTCTGCTGTACCTTCTAAGTAAAGATTGTTGTGCTAAAAGTCCCCTGCAAAGCCTGGGCATTGTGCT